CCCTGTTGGACTGCGTTGCCTTCAAATTTACTATTTCTGCTTCTAACTTTCAAGAATGACATTAGAAATAGTTTCTGCAACATTCTTCTTTTTTGGTGCATCTATTAAAGTCTGCTCAAAATCTGCCTGACTTTGTCTTGTAGGTATAGTGCACTTTTTATACTGTTCAATGCTATCAACTGCAGGGAGATTCTAGAAGGTTAGATATCGGACAGTGGTAAAAACTAACAGTTTTTGTTGTATTTCTCGGTGAACCTACACACGTCTGCTCCATATCACTGAGTTTATTGTATATTGAGTATATTGTTGGTAAAACTTGAATATATGAAATCCTATAGTTGCTGGTAATTGGTACGAGATTCATTAACTAATTTGTGACAGTTTACAAAAATATCACATCCATGGTTTTCATACTGACAACAGTATTAGCGCGTAAAAAACAGCATGCATTCGATTCCTCAGTTTTTGTCAATTGTGTAGTGAGTGACACAAGCTTTAAAGGCAAATAGATCGTCAGCTGACACTATATAAATACTGTTCTTGTTACGTATGCAGAATACATTCAAAATTTCAGAAATAAATGAATCTTGATATGTAATTTTCACATCTTGAGGTCAAATTTGAGTCGCGGCTGACTGGACCATCATACTAGTCAAAATCGGAAGGACGATCAGCGAAAGATAGCAAATAATGTGGACTATGGCCACTGATATTGACTCTGACTTCTGGAATTAGCGAATGTTCGTAGCATCCTAATAACAGGCCATTTCTATTTTCCCCCAATTTTTTCACGAGACTGTGAAATAAGATTCACATTTCCTCTTGTATAATTAATAAATTCTGTATATATAGTGCAGGCAGGCGAAAGGAGACAGTCAAAGCTGTGGAAAATGTTGGAAAATTGTTTGAAATATGTAAATAGTATGGCAGTTCAAAGTCGACAGTGCAGGACCGGATTAAAGTAAAGAATGAGTTTCTTGTTTATTTTTACTTAGTTTGTATGTATGTGTTTTTGATGAAAGTTTCTATATTAAATCGACTCAGTATGAGTGAGTTCAATTTTTTTCCTCAAAGTCTTAATGACAGCTGATTTGAAATTTCTATTCTACTATCACACATTTTCAAATACGGTTCTCTCTAAAACTGGTAAACCAAATGCTGTCCGATAATTGGAAACTATCCGGTCGATCAGTAGCACCTTCTGTCCGAGTACTGGCAAAATAGCATCTTTTGGATTAATATTTTTTTATAAAATTACAGGAATATCTATGAGAAATGTATTTGTTATCGGCGAAAAGTTACCGACATACGTGATCACCTTTAAAAGCATTAGTTATATTGCGTTGAACCCAAAATTCGTAGTTACACTTTGTATTCCACTTTTGTTTAAACTATCCGGTCGCTGGCACATCCACCGTATATAATTTTGAGAGAGAGAGATTATGTTCTTGCATTATGTTGAATTCTTTCAAGGTTAAATACTGCGATCATATTGATGAGCGCCGGCTATAAAGTGTTTTAGAATTGCTTTATCGTGACAGTGAACGCTTCTCAATGCCTCCACCCAAACCTTGAAGACAAAGGCCCAAACTATAACTTAACCTTGAAAGTCAAAGCAATAGCGAAATCTAATAAATTGAGTGCATTGCTTTACACTGAAACATAGGGGAGATGCGTGTAGTATGATCCCTCGAGGTAACACTATACCCCACCGCATGCGAGTGACCACTAGCTATATCTATCTAAACCCGCAACAAACATCATCCTTGCAGCTCTACCAGTTGCCTCTCCGGCGTGGTTTTATTTAAAGATATGAGGTTTGTCCGGAAATTACGTAAAAAATGAAAAAATAAATCTTTTACAATTGTTCAGGTATTTCAATATAGTCTCCTTCAAAGCAATCCTCCTGAGATAAGATGCGCTTCTGCCAACGCCGTTTCCACTGTTGATACGATCGCTGAAAGTTTTCAATTGTGAGGCTCTTCATTTGCCATATCGTTTCTGCCTTGATAGCTTCCATATTCCCCAAGTGCCGCCCCCGAAGCATCATTTTGCATTTTGGGAACAGGAAGAAGTCGCAAGGGGCTAAATCGGATCAATAAGGCGGGTGTTCTGTCACCGTGATTGAGCTTCGGGCTAAAAATTCAATGAGAGACGTATGAGCAGGGGCGTTGTCGTGATGAAGGATCCACCTGCCCCCTTGTGTCAAATCCGGTCGAACTCGGGCTACATGAGCTGTGAGATGACGCAATGTAGAAATTTACGTTCACTGTCTGACCGGGAGGGACAAGTTCCTAGTGAACAATGCTCCGAGAATCAAAGAAATCAAGCAACATTGTTTTCAAATTGGACCCTGATTTTTTAGATCTTTTTGTTCTCGGTTCCCCTGCTTACTTCCACTCCATGCTTTGAGATTTCAGCTTCACATCGGATTCATAGAATCAAGACTCATCTCCAGTGATGACCCGGTGGAGAAAGTGCCTTCTTTTCTCTGCTCCCAGTCAGTATTTACAGCAAGCCACCCTCCCTACTTTCTGTTCTGGAGTCAAGAGCTTCGGAGCGATATACGCGCACAATTTTTTAATTCCAAGCTTTTCTGTCAGAATTTCGTGGATGATTGTTTTGGGGTATTATTATTATATTATCATTCTAACTGTGAAACCACGGTATTTAAGAACACAGTCCCGAATTCGTTCAACATTTCACTCGGAGCTCGATGTGGAAAGGCGTCCCAAACCTTTTCAACCACTTTTTGACGGTTGGTTCCTTCAGAGAATTGTCTCCGTAAACTTGTTTCAAAGACTCAAATCTTGATACGTTGTTACTTGATCAGAGATAGCTCCATGCCGACGGAGGGTAAAAAAAAGGGTTACTTTCAACAAACACACGTAAGTCCTACTTACTCGTTGAGTGCTCCAGCTCGAATTGAGCATACAGGGGATTGCATAGAAAGCGAACCATCGGGCCATTCTTCCAGAACGCCTTGACACGACGCCCCGAATTTTTTAGACGTATTTTCCGGACAAACCTTTAATTGAAAAAATGTGATTCTAATCTATGGTGAGTCTATTTCTTGGGTTTTAATACTGTTGCATATTAAGATTTATTGAAATGTTGTTTTATTGATGGATATCATTAACGTTCAACTATGTTTATGCAATGTTTGAATACTGCACATTGTATTTGAAGGTTATATTTTGATCGGTGCTTTGGAATTTCGTGTTTGAGATGAAATGACCCCTCTTAGTGTGTACAAAACGATCTCCGGAATCATATTGCCTCATTTCATTTCTCATTTTTACATATGCTGAAGGATCTAAATGCCGTCAAAGATGGCTTGCCTTATAAAATCGCAAGTAGAGAATCTTCTGTGCCTGTTATGGCATTAAAAAGAAAAGCTGAAGGCAGAAATAAAATACCTACAGGAACCGTAGAAATTATAGGTAAAGACGCCGTCAAGCCTCCTGTTTCAGTTCATAATACGTGACGGTGACGTGCTTCATGAGCTATCATCACAAGCAAATATGCAGGAAGCTTTGGATAAAACACTTCAGTCTTCGTCGCAAGAGTTTGTTCTGAAATTTTTACAAGTATCACAGTTATCGAGTCAAACACCTATACAAGAATATCCATCTGAAACGCATTTACCAGAAAAAACGATCAATATTTCGCAGGCAAGTGTAGCACCGCAAGATTTTCTTAGTAACAGACAATCTTCCTCATCCAAAAAGCCAGTCTGTATGCCCTATTATCTCCAGCTTTGACTACAGCACTTGAATCTAATTCAAAAACGTCTCCAGCCATTAGTGTTGACCTTCCACCCACATCTTTTGTTGTCTTTACACCTAGGCAAATCCAACCAATGCCAAAAATAGTAGAAAGAAGAAATAGTGCAAGACGAGTAAGAGCAGACACCACTGTACTGACCAGTACACTCTACAAAAACTACCTAGAGAAGGAAAGAGAAAACAGATAAAGAAGAAAATAAGGCCAATAAAATAGAAAAATAAAATAAAAAACCAGTTGCAAACAAAAAGAAAAATAAAGGTAAATGTGGCGGGAAAAGAAAAATAGGAAAATGTAATAGATCAGATTCATCTAAATACCTACTATTCTAAAGATAATTAAGGTGAAGGGAGGATAAGGTACGTTGTATGCCTGAAATGTGATGGAATAGACAGCGGCGATGAGGAAGATTTTACTTGCGATTTTCGTCTTTCTAATCATTTTGGAAGTGTGAACAAAAATGTAGACTATTGTTTTTTATTTTAGTTTACATCACAAGAAGCATAAGTTCTTATTTTTTATTTAGGAGAGTTTATTTCTTTAATTACACCATGTTAATACAAAGTATCGTATGGCATAAAATGATCCCTGGGATCATTGGAATCATTTCATACGTACATGTGTATAAAACGATCCATTACTAATCTTTTAGAAAATATGACGAATTAAATAAACTACATACATATCATGATAAATTAGTATGGAGTTACCAAAGCAAGCCAATTCACTACTTTCAACAATTTAAATCTTGTGTATTTGTCTTAAACTTTGAGCGCAGTAAGATTTTTGCCTTGAGGGGGTCATTTTGCACTCATTGCCCCTAATGTGCCAAAAGGGAGGGCGTTGATCTTCAATTTGGAAGCGAAATTGACAAATTCAATAAAAATCTTATATTTTTGAATGTATAAATTGAAGGAAATACCCGCATTTTGCATTCGATTGTGTCCTTGTTACCAAGATTGAGCATAATCAATTCGTGTTCCTCCAAGGTCGTAGAATAACTTTTCGCGAAAGGATGACTCCAAGATTCCTGCTATTTTTAAAAATTATGGCATGACTCATCATTGACATTGACCTTGATTGTTAGTAAACTCGGCCTTGAACACAAGGCAGACCCATTCTGTTTTCGTTTTCGAGTTTGTCGGCAACAGTTTTCCTTGAATTCTCAGTCCACAATGTAAGAAATTTATATAAAATTACATTTAACCTCATAATCAAAACAAACAATATGGAAATGATCTGTGTGATATAATATACAAGACCGTGTATAATCGTATATATATATATATATATATATATAATTTGGAAGAACCGTATACACAGCATCCCCACTCAATCTGGTACTTACGGGAAGACTTAGCAGTGAACGTAATGGGACTGTCCCAGTCCTCCCTGCCTGATTTCGGCTCAGTCTCGTCCTCGTTCAACACCTCGCTTATGTAATCTATGGATAAATTTGAAGAAATGGAAGAACATGTGATGTATTAAAAACATTCAACGATACTACCATAACTAAAATAGTCAGCAGTTAATAGCAAAAAGTTATTCGTGCTTCATTTACTATTTTTGATTCAGTGTATGCCATTTCACGTTTCATTTATATGGGAATCGTTTCTATGCATTTTGAAACAAGGAAAAACAAAGGAATAATTTCATCAACGTTTTGCACCCAGAATACTTGATAAATATTTTTTTTCAAGAATAAATACTGCTTCATCAAATTGTTTCACCAAAACTGCGATAGACGTAAATTGACATTTTAATACGCACATGTCTCATGATGCGAATCTAACTACAAGGTATGGACAAATTTTAAAAATATCACTCACCATGACAGAACTGTTTCGCGCTACCGTTCTGTTGAAACTCGGGAAAACTGACGTGATTCTGCTTCCCATCCTAAGCAAAAATACAAGCACCTCAAATTCTCCGAAAAGAGAAACAAATGGAACATAATATATCTGATGTTATTTATTGATCACAAAAACTATATTGCTTGTCTTATGGTATTGTGATTTTTATTTTCCTTAGATCGCCATGGGTCAGTTGTAAAATTCCTAGATTTAAGAAAGTTTCCATAGATCTGGCAACAAGATTGAACTCAGGCAGATGCATATTTTTCAAATATGGTGAGATTACTAATTAGTACATAATTAGAACATTGACTATTCACTCAGATCGATTCCACGTTGTAATATAATACTATAGTTAATAACATATAGTTATACTTAATTTTTATGGATATTTAAATGCTTACCCTGTTCAATTTTTTACTATGTCGCTTATGGTGATGCCGTCCCTTATCAGCCACCAATCTTCTCATATTATAGTGCATTTTATAATTGACTTGTGTAGACAGGTCCCGATCCTTCACCGCGTGCCTACTATAGCTCAGCTTTCGATGCTATAAAAAGAAATGATTTATATTTTATAGAAAGTCGGCATCAAAATTATAAACGGTAGATATTTTTCGTTTATATTCTGCTCTAAAACTCGAGCATAATACTCGTATAAGGCCCATAACGATGGTCCCAAAAGAGTTACATCAGGAAGTCTTCAAAATCACAGCCTCCATATTGATATTTAACAACCATAAATATCATAACAAACTATCAATAATAGATATTTAGCATACTTTAATTTTAGAGTTCGGTCGTAATACATAAAAGCTATAGTGATGATCCTAGAACGGATTCCTAAGGAGCTGTACAAAGTTGCAACTCCCTATATACTATTGATGTCCTATAATAGTAAATGTTATATAACATATACGATATTTTAGGGTTCGACCGAAATACATCGTCGGTAATAATAGCCCTACGATGGATATCTGAGGATCTCTATAAAGTCAGAACCGCCATATTGATATATAAGAACAACAAGGGCTGATATACAATAACAAAAAATGTCATACAAATAATGCTAATAACAGATCTTTCGATCGATACTTATTCCATATTAATGGTCCTAGGACAGATCGTTAAGGAATTCCCATGTGAAACGTGTAACAACAATATATAAGATTTGCATAATTTTAGTAACAAAAGCATAGAAAATAGTTGTAACTAACAGTCTACAGAGATGGAAGTAACATGAAAAGAAGACCACGACATCAATATTTTCTTTATATAAAATGATTACTTACACTTACCCGCCGGTATGGTTTAACCAGCTCTTCGGCCAGCAAGTGGTGGATCTTGGCATCTGTCAGATCCTTCCTGGAAGGGTTGTATTCGAGCTCTTGCATGTCTATGTTCCATGTGCTTGAATCTAATTGACTAAAACTAGAACTGAGGAGATAGGTTTGATTATTCTGGCGAACGTACTGGAGATCTGCGTAGCCATCTAGCCAAAGATAAACACTAGGTAATTCACTACTGGGAAAAGCCAAAGATAAACACTAGGCAATTCACTACTGGGAAAACATTACTAATTCTAAGAAAAAATGACAAAAAACCAAGTCAAATACAAAATCCTATCAGTATGTAGCGAAACACCTATGACTAAGTTGTCTGTCACTTAATGGAATTGGATTGGATGCCATAGATCTCCTACTCGTATTTGTCAACAACATATCTACAAAAACAGATCACATATTTTAAACTTACATTACATTTCATCGAAACAGAAAATATGACTAAAAAAATAAGTCAACAGATATTTTTGTTCTCTCTGTTCGACATTTTATGATATCAAAGTCACGAAGAAAGAAATTAAAGGAGAGCAAGATGAAGGTTGGAGCATGCATTATTAATGAGAATTCTGGAATTCTTAATTACTCGAAAAATATTTTTGAGAAAAAAATTAAATATGTTTGGACCTAAAATTGCACAACTTTCTTGTTTATAGTGCGACCGACGCTCAGTTGCCGTTCCCTTCATCTTTAATCGTAAATCACTCCTCCAGTGATCTTTTCCTCAGCCCATTAGTTTTACAAATATAACTTTTCATTTTTTCATAAGTGCTTAAATATACTGAGTTGTGAAATCGATTATCAATAAAAATTAGTCTCCTCTTGCGTGACTTTCATTAAATTCATTATCTGAAGCTAACTGAGCTCGACGGTTCAATATATTCATTTGGGCCTTTACCACGGCGTTCTTTTGGATTACTTAAAGAATAGAACAGGCAACGTTCTGCGCAAAGTCAGTGTTTCAATTAAGCTATGATTCTATTACATCAGATTCTATAGGAAGACAAGTAAGAGGTAACAGAATTTGAAAATAGAGTAGTCTCGGATCGATACAGAAATTGGAAGTATTAGACTGGGGCTCCGGATGATGTTAAGAGGTCCGGAAGGAACCTGGTTGGAGCACTAAGGCCCGATTTTACAAAGCGAGAGCGCAAAAAAGCACGCGGGAGACAAATTCAGCTAATGAGAAGGCGTCTTTGTCGTAATAGGTCTAATGTTAATTGACGATTTCTTGTAAAATGTCTCTCAGACAGAGAATAATTATACGATTTGTATAAGACGGGCCTAATTTTTACGTTTTGATAATTTATTCATTGAACTTAGCACCTACTATAATCCTTACTTCACGTTTTTGTATTTTCAATGCAGGCCCAAGATGCCAAGATCCTCTCCGAATCATGATGCCATAGATCAGATGAGAGTGAAAAATGCCAAAATATGCGGTTAATAGGCCTTCTTGCGTAGAGATACATTATAACTGTCGCAATATAAATAACTGCGTTGAAAGTTTTTTACATGGGCCTCCCATTTGAGAGCACCATCAATTTTACCTAGTTTTGAGAAGAGAAAGTGCTTCGTCTTCATTTAACCGATTGTTTTCCGACAGAATGATCCTTTGTGTTTTGTCTCTATTAAGTATTAAGCAGTTCGTCGCAAACCATCTTTCTACTTTGAATTCAGTGTCTATAGTGTTTGCAAGTAGCAAGTTTTTGTCCTCATGCGATTTAGCTAACGTAGTGTGGTCAGCAAAACACATGCAATTTGATGGTGATAAATAATGGAATATGCCATTCATATATATCACGAAAAGTAAAGGCCGTAAAATAGAGCCTTGCGGTATACCATTTTCTGTTGCTCTTTAGTTTGAATCTTCGCCATCCACAGAAACTATTTGACACCGATTTACCAAGTGAGAATGGAAAAAGTTCAAAGAGTGTCTCTGAGTGTCCACAGTCAAAGGCTTTTGAGATATCACAAAGCGTCAAAGTCGAAAGCTTACCCTACTCAGAATCGTCACAAGAGCATGTGTACTAGATCATTTACGCCGAATTTCCCATATTAAATCTAGAAACACGTCATAAAACCTACAAAAGCTTATTTTTTTATTTGCGCCCGGACACTAAATTGGCGGCCATGATGATAAATATAATGCACCGATGAAAAGTAAGCATTTGCACCATACTCGAAGAATGGACACAAATCTGATACAATATCTACATTGATATGACAGCAATTAAATTTGCATATTATTGAAAATAACAGTGCCTCACTGTTGCTGTACAAAATTCTGCTTGATAAACTCTTTGAGGACATAAATAAATTTAAGGAATGCTTATTCTTTAACAAACAGCTCGCGCCCTCTACTGGGCAATAGGACAACTACTCCTAGCCTTGCCACCATCATCGCGGCGCGGCGTTTTCGTGTAGTTGTCCTACCGTCCAGTAGAGAGCGCGACACCTTCCTATTAACAGTAAGTACATTGATTATTTATTTACCCGATGTTTGTTGAAGAATAAGCGTTCTGTAATTTTATTCATGTCTTCAAGGAACTTCTTAAGCACAGCAATAATGAGATACTGTTATTTTCAATAAATTGCTCAGTGACGGTGCCGTAACATGTTTGATCCAAGTTTCGAGTGCACCACAAAACCTTTTTGATTGATAGAATTTGCATAAAGTTTTGTGTCTGGACTCAAATGCAAAATAGATTTGACTAGGAGTGCTGTAATTTTGAGCATGCTTTTACAAGTTTCAGGTCTACTGATAAATAGAAGGTTATTAAGATTTCAACTAGAAATTTCGCAAAATAGCTGAGATATCCCACCTTAATGTTAATAATGTGTTAAAGCTCCTCTGGTCGCTAAACATTCGTTAAGTCGTCGTTGCATTGATTGGATTAGGTGATTGATGTCTTCTTGGTGTATTGCATCCCAGGCCATCTTAATTTGGTTTTGTAGAGCCTCCAATGTTTGAGGAGGGTGCGGTGAGTTTTTAAACCTTCTTCTTATCATGTCCCGTACATGTTCTATAGGGAAGGGTCTGAATATCGAGGAGGTCACTGAAGCAGATTTACTCCGGACGCTTCTGAGAAATCTAAGCTAACACATGCGAGGTCGTGCATTGTCCTGCTGGAAAAGTGGATCTTGCTATGTTTCCAAAAAGAAAGCAGATACGGTTGTAAACTTTATGGATATAGCGCTGGGCAGTGATGCTACTCTGCCGTAAGAAATGGCACCCCATACCATAACGCACAGTGCATGAATATGCCGTTCGATGGAATATTGTACGTACTGTTTTTCACCACGTCTCCTCCTTACACTTGCGCGGCCATCATGTGTGCCCAAACAGAATCTAGACTCATCGCCGAACACGACTGAGTTACATTCCATATTCCATTCAAGTCTCTCCCTACTCCATAGCAACAGTTGCCGACGATGCTGTGGGGTCAGAGTTGGTACAAAATGAGAACGGTATGAAAACAGTCCAAAAGAACTTATTTGGCGATAAACTGTCCTCATTATCATGGCACTTCCAACAGCATCAAGCCACTGGTTCGCAAATGTTCTTGTTGTGGAAAATCGATCTCTAAATGCTAGTTGCCTCAAATAACGATCCTGTCGCTCTGTAGACGGTCTTTGACGTCCAGCACATCTAGCTCTTCAATTTCGGCCTTCTTGGAACCACGCTCGACAACACCTCATTACAGGAGAGCTTTCTTTCGATTCACCTGATTAGCGATTAATCTAAAACAAAATCGGGCTTCACGTAACCCGATTATCCGACCCCTCTCAAACTCGGAAAGTTTATTGAAATTAGCGCGCCTACAAACTCTAGGCATGATAATGCGATGAAACAAATGGAACCAACACAGAAAAGTCACTGAATATTAAGTAAACAAGTTCATATTGTTCGGATCCTGATATTACAAAAAATAGTCTATCCAGAAAGGTACGGCTCAGAATGCCCTCAACATTTTATTAGTGTATACTTCCATGATAGCAAATACCTATGTATATAAGTTTTTATCAAAAATCAATAAATAATTCTGGATGCTGCATTTTATATGTCACTTAGTATATGAAGTATTTCTTGATTAAGGTGGATTTCACAATTTAACAAATCATTATTCTGCACCAATAGGGTACGAGTAGCAAACAGTCCGTTGAATATACCCAATCAGCCTCAAGATCCCTCCGTCAAATTTTTGGCAGCAAATATTATCAAAACAAAACACTGTAAAATATGAAGTGACAGCTTGCTATTGAAATATTTTCAGTTTACTAAATATTATGAACTTATGTAAAACTGAGCCAACATTTTAAAAAAATGCTTAATGTCTGAGCAAAATCCATTTCACAGTAGACAACACCAGCCCTAGTTGATTCAAGTTCTGAATGTTTCTACAATGACTGAAAAACTAGTTCAAAATGTGCACCAAAAACACGTGAATATATAAATTGGTTCTGCTATAAGAATTTGGAATATGCACCTGTCCAAAACTGGCTTCACTGAAAGAAAAAGCGATTGAATAGCTTGGTAATATTTAACAGTTTAGACCACACAAGGCTGATTTCAGTAGCTTCTATTTTGGCCACTTTCTCAGTTATAATCTCATCTCACTTCAAGTTGTCTCACATGAGATTTTCCACTTTCCCCGCGCCCCTGGAGCCTGTGGTTCTCGATACTGGCTTCCGAAAGATTTTTGACTCGCTTGACTGTTGGCTATGTTTATATATTTTCTGGAGATTTTCAAATCATTCAAAGATTTTTCAGACCTTTGGATGTTCTATAAATTCATCGATGTCAATAAAACATTTTCATACAACACTTAAACCTGATTCCGACACATGTTTCATGCGTGTCAGATGGAATCCTTATTTGACTGTTCCTTAGTTCCTTTTGGTACCTGAGAAAAATCACTTTCCCCACTTGCAGTGTGCTGAGTCATTAGTTATTTTCGTGCACCGAGCAGTATGAATAAAATGTCCCATCACTATCCTAGTCGCGACTGAGTGGTGTGTCATCTGGACAAAACAACACTGTTAACAGACTTAGCGATTTTTGTATGCTTTAGCGACCTTTTTTCTTCACTTGTCCGCTGGCGATTTCCAGCATTTTTCGCTACATTGGTAATTCCATTAAAGTTCGGCTTTTTTGCACTCAAAGTCTTTTCAAGTGCCGAAGGCAACTAGTGATTATGCTGCGCTATCTTCGCAGCCAAAATACAATGAAAGTAGGAAGCTTTTACTGTAGTCATTTTTTTTTTACCGAAGCAGCCGGGTCTGTATGGCCGGCACAGCGCGCGGCGGCATCATGGAAGAGAGCAAAGCCCGTTGGTGTAGCAGGAGAAGAGAACTTGATCGCCGACGGCCGCCGGTGTGAAAGAGTTCCGACACTGTTTGTTAGAGAAGAGTCACCGATCAGTCGGACAGCCCTTCTCTGGACAACATCGAGCATAGATAATATAGTCGGGGCGGTGGCACCCGAAACGGGTGAGCAGTACTCGAGGCTAGGCCTTTTCTGGGAATGTATAGAGTGAGAAGGTCAGGCGGAAGTACTACTTAGCCCTAAACAAATAGCCCAGGTTTTACTGACAAGATGTGTTCGTGCCAGATCAAGTCCTCGGTGATCTGGACTACGACCAGCCGAAATGAACGGCTCTTTGGCAGAACCCGGACATCCGTCGGAACCGTATGAGCGCTAGGACGCTTGTTTTTCGTCACGGTACGGTACTGTGTTTTGGAAGCACTACACTGTACACGATTGTTGCACCCCCAAGCAGTGAAAACTTCCAGGTCTCTCGTCAGAGAGGAAGTCGTCGCTAATCTTCTTTTTTCCAGCTCAGCTGTAGAGATCGGCTTGTCACTCTGAATTCCTGTATGTAGAGTGCTGTCATCAGCGAAGCTGTGGATTGGATTGATCGTGCAGGAAAGGAGGTCGTTGATATGCAAGAAGAACCGTGTCGGAGCCAAGGCCAATCCCTTGGCAACACCCGCTTTGACCTTGCTGGATGAAGAGGAGATCCCGTCAATAATGACGGATACCTTGCGGCCAGAGAGAAAGTCAGCCACCCATCTGCAAAGCTTTTCTGGGAGGTCATGGGATGGAAGTTTGCATCAGAGGGCAGCGTGCCACAGCTGATTGAACGCTTTCGTGATATCAAGACCAACGACATAAGCCTCACCGTAATACTGGATTAGCTTACTCCACAATTGCGTGACGTAAGCCAGGAGGTCCCCTGTGATTCGCTGGTGTCGGAAACCATACTGTCTGCCGCTAATCAAGCCGAGACGTTCGGAGTAGTCCAGAAGCTCGCGATTTATGCACCTCTCCATCGCCTTACTTATAACACTAAGCTGAGCTAAAGGCCTGTAGTTGTAAGGGTCGGTCTTAGATCCCTTTTTTGGGATGGTTTGGACATGAGCAAATTTCCAGTTTTCTGGGAAGGTGCCGGATTCATAAGATATCTGGATCAGCATAATAGCAGGAATCAAGTCCGGACCAGAAGCTTTGTTGCTGTCGAGCCACAAGAGCACTCGTCTTACGGTCTTATGCCTGAATGTTACCTCCAGCATAGTGTAGGGAACCCTTTGAATTGACGGCACTTGGTCGTTGGGGGGGACGTCCATGGTGGAGTTGGCAGCAAAGACCTTGGCTAGCACTTCCGCCTTAGTCTTTGAGTCGAATACAATCGTTCCATCATGACACGTAAGTGGTGGAAGGCTACTGTGTGAGAAGTTCTTTTCAATCTGCTTGGCCAGCGTCCAGAAAGACCGACTGCCAATGCGCTGCGACATTACCCTGTGCCTAACTTTTATATCGTGCTGGTTTTTGGCATTGCGAACCGCTTCGTTATATTCGTTTCTGGACTCGACGTCGGCTTGTCTGTTCTCGACAGTGGAGTTTTGTAAGAAGGTTATGTGTGCCTTGATCCTCTGCTGGCGAGCAGTGTCACACGATTTGTTAAACCAGCCGTTCGACCCTGGTTTAGGCACTTTCACTGTGTGAGGGATGTATTCCTCCATGCCGACGACGATAATATCTGTTATCGAAGAACAGACGGCCGACGCAACCGCGTCAGTGAAACAGACATCTCTCCAAGAAAAGCTATCTCTAATCAATTTGTGTAGGGCTAAGAAGTATTTTTCTCCGCATGACCAAATGACCATCTCACTCTAGACAAGGCCCAGATAAAGCCTAGCCTCGAGTATTGCTCACACGTTTGGGGTGCTGCCGCCCCGACTACATTATCCATGCTCGATGCTGTCCAGAGGAGGGCGGACCTCCTGATCGAAGACTCTTCTCTCACAGACAGTCTCGGGACTCTTTCGCATCGGCGGGCCGTCGGCGATCTGGCTGTTTTCTATCGCTACACCAACGGGCTTTGCTCCTCAGAGCTCAGTTCCATGATGCCGCCGCGCGATGTGCGTGCCAGACAGACCCGTCTGACTATAGCGTCCCATCCTAACCGTGTCGAACTTAGTACATCCAGAACTGGCCGATACGACTGCTCCTTTGTCCCGAGGGTGTCGAGATTGTGAAACAATCTACGAGTACAAGAGGAAGCTTTCCCCAGTTCTATTAACCTTAGGCAGTTCAAAAATCGTATTAACAAAATTTCTTTGGGATCATCATAGCAGCCGCGGTGTTCCGGCATTTAGGCTTCTGCCTGCGCGGCTGCTTCGATATATAAAAAAGAGATCCATTACTTAAAAGACGCCTTCTTATTGGTCCAATTTGTGCCAAAGCGTGAATTTTAATTCCCGCCGGTCAAATAGAAAAATCGGTCCTGAGTGACCCTACTATTAGTATTACGTACACCTAGTAAGCAAGCAGCTAGCAGCAAAGTATCAGCATGTTTGCTAGACAGTTAGTGAAGCAGAATTTACCCGGTGACCGTCTGATCGGGATCGCACCTGCCATTCAAATTTCCAACAGTCGTGTAGTTTCGGAAGATGGCCGACATGCTTTCCGTTCCGGAAATGTTGCCGATGGTTGACGCGTTGCGGCGCATGTATTCCATAGCGTCGCGCATGGCCAACTTTGAATAAGTTTCCAGGATTTTGGGTTCTGCACCCTGGTGGTTCCGAAGGAGGTATGGCCTGATGAAACGGTTGTCGAAACGTTTAAACCTGAAAAAAGTACAGTCACGTAGGAGCTAGAAGCATAAATGCAAGGTGTGGCAGAAAAGTAATCAGACCAGTTTGGCTTATATGTTTTCGAGACGTCAATATTATGCCCTTATGAGTGATTCCCTTTAACAGCTTCACGCCGATGAAGACGTTGTTCCCAGCCTTGGTAGCTGCGCTGGAAGTTTTCAACCGGTATCGCTTTCAACATGTCAGTCACAGCCTTTGGGATGTCCCCAAGAAAACGTAATTTCAGAAAATTCTGGGCTGTTGATTAACGATGTGCCATACGATTTTCCATCGTTTTACCACGTTTTTCCACCAAAAATATTCGTTTTTCCACTATTGGCTTAAAAAATTGGAAATAATAATTCTGGGCTAAGTTCACGTAGCCCAGATTCTCCAGATTTTTAAAAAACTCGCTGTTATAGCTAACCGAACTCAAAAGTAGAAAATAATTATCAATTACAAAGAGTTTATATTACAGTCGTAGATGGTCGAACAATCATTTAAAACTAATGACCACAAAATAAAATTATAATAAAATTCAAGTTGTTAACAGAATAATTCAATTCAGAGTAAAATGCGTGGGGTGCTTGATACATTAAATGTTACAATCGTTCTATTTCTAACTATCTATGAGAGGAGAGTTAGGAAAACGTACTAAAATGCACCCCACGCTTTTTACTCTGAATCGAATTATTCTGTTGATAACTAAAATCTTATTATACTTTTATTTTGAGGTCATTAATTATTTATGATTGGTAATTCTACCACTGTAATATAAAATTATTTTCTACTTTATAGATCGGTTACCTATAAAAGCGTGTTTTTTAAAACTATTATTTATTTTTCATTTTTTAGTTCGATTTATCAATTAGTTTTTTCTGGACATGTATTGAAATGCCTGACGAATCATTTCGTAATCTAATCATTTCATTCAAAGCTTCACTGTTGCATGGGATTTTTCCTGAGCAATCAAGTTCTTCGATCCGAATAAGGTCTAAAGATCTTACACGACTAAGTACTACATAAGCTTATCCAGCAGCAAACAGTCGCGAGTCTAGATAAATGACTGCATGATCGACTGTACAACCTTGCATCTTGTGGATGGTCGAAGCCCAACTCAGGATTAATGGCAACATTCGCAATGAACAAGGTGAGAATGCACTACCTTGAAAACGTATCTGCCTCCGCTGTGCTGTGTCGAGTGCCCGAACCAACAAAGAGTAAGTCCGAAAGTGCAGGCATGCGCAGATCGCGCGCTAGCTCTATATCTCTTATTCCCCTATAGAGGATCTATGAAAGAATTTATCAATCCTGGTGGTCCCAATAAGGTTAATGGAAAGCTGTTATCAAATTATTGCATCGTCATCGGTCCTTGATACGTGTGCGAAGTTTCAAATTAATCAAAATTCTGGTTATTGGTGAAAATTATGCACAAAGATTCCGTTACATAAATACATACATACATATATACCTACATACAGGCCAAGCCAATAGAAGCGTCTTAAAAATAAGATGTCATAATTGCATGAACGTAGCTCGCATTTGCTCATACTTTTGTATACCTGTCCAGGCTAAGTGGAAATCATCACAAAAACTTTGCGCCACTGCTATTACGTGGAGACCTTCTAAAATGCAGAAGACGTCGCTATAATCAAAAGGTACCGCATCAAAGCACTGGCGCAAGAGGAGTTCTGCTACTGTCATAAATTTTGGTACCTGACTATATAAAAAGCTAAAATAGAAATCTGTACTTTACTCCAATAAAAAGTGTCATCTGACATTTTTTTAACTGTAACCAAGCGAGTTAATCATTATTTTATTATTATCCGATTAATTCCCAACGTTTTGGATATACCAGATCTGTAGAGTTTTTTTTTACTGGACTGAGAATTCCAAAATAATACCTGTGAGGGATGTTTCACATATAAAATATATAATATGTAATATACACACATACAGACGATGTTTGCACAATAAGGTTATATTTATAATTTTAAATATTTTGTAGGAAACTTTTATTTTATTATTTAAGTATTTTATTACTTGGAGGAAATGCAACTGAATAGACTAAATCAGGGTTTGTCAAGCGGCGGTTCGCGAACCCCTAGGGTTTCGCGAGCTATATGAAAAAATTATGGTAATGACGGAATTTGTCCTCAATATTGCAACACCGCAGCTTCAACAATCCGGCAAGAGTTCTACTTCGGCGAATCGAGCGCACCGAGACCTTTCTGAGAATGTACTGGAAAAAAGGAAAACAACGTCTGCAAATATAAAAAGGTCGCAGTCACGGAAGTACGAGTACAGTCGGACTCGCTTCGTGAGCCGTATGCATGTCGAACGTGAAATTAAATAAGTATAATAATATTCTGTAAATTTAAGATGGATAGTTGAACGAACTCTGACGAAAATCCAGATGAGCAATCAATTACTGCTTCTTCTTCGGTTCCCGATTTGGGTCCAACACAGGGTGGCGATATTGAAAGTTATAGTGAGGTCTACCTTCTCCCCAGAATAAAAGTAATGAGAAAATGGTGAAAAAAGGAAAGAAACGAAAATACGACACTGACTATTTGCAAATGGGTTTTTATTTCACCGGGGCTGAGACAGAACCTAAATCGCTTTGTGTAATTTGTAATGTCGGCACCTTGAGACATCCGGATTACAAGGATAAACTTATTAAGTATTATAAAAGGAAACTGGAAGGTAAGAAGAATTAAGTTTGTTCTTTCCTGTCGGCTTTCAATGCAGATAGTAAAATGGCTTTTGATGCATCATTTCGAGTTAGTTACAGAATCGCAAGATCTGGAAAAGCTCATTCAGTGGCAGAAAATTTGATCGGACCTTGTGCTAAAGACATCGCAATGTGTATGCTTGGGAAAAAAGCAGCAAGAAAATTGACCTCATGCCCTTATCAGTCAGCACAGTGTCACGGAGAATTAACGATTTGGCGAACAGTGTTGAAGGTGAACTTTTGAAAAAAATAAAATTGAATTATTTTGCTATTCAGCTTGACGAGTCGACCGATGTAGCAAACTATGCAATATTGCTCATTTATGTTAGATATATTTTTGAAAAATCCATTTGAGAAGATTAATTATTTGCAAAACCACTGGAAACTTATACGACTGGTGCAGCAATGTTTAATCTAATCAATGACTATTCTGAAGAACATGAAATCAACTGGTCATTTTTTTGCTTAGGTGTATGCACAGACGGTGCAAAATCAATGACTGGAACATATTCTGGTCTTGTGCTACGAATAAAGAAGATCAACGAGAATATAGCAAGCATTGGCATGTAAGCGTATTCCTGCAGAGTCAGTCAGTACTTTAAGCGAAGCTGTAAAACTTGTGAATTGTATAAAGTCCCGTGCTACAAATTCTCGTCTATTCCATCAACTTTGTGAGGACTTGGGAAGTGTCCACATCTCTTTATTACTTCATACAGAAATTAGGTGGCTTTCTCGTGGCAAAGTTTTGACCCGCTTGTTCGAATTGAAGTCTGAAGTTCAGATAATTTTTTGACCATCCATTTTATTTGTTTGCTTCTATATCCCACATTCTGTGGCTCCAAGAACTTGCATACTTAGCCGATATTTTTTCTAAATTAAATGAACTAAATATGTCTTTACAAGATTCAAGAATCACCATTTTAAATGTTCATGATAGAATAGAAGCCATGCTAAAGAAGTTCAACTTTTGGAAATAATGTCTGCAGATGAATGAGCATGATTGTTTTGGTTCTCTCAGCAGCTCTTTATCAGAGAATAAAATTCAACTTAACGAAAAAATTAAAAGAGATATTACTGAACATCTCAAACAGCTTCAATTATCGTTCAATAAACCTGGATCAAACAACTGGATACGCAATCCTTTTGAAGGAGATACAATTTCTAACACTTCTTTATCTTTATTGGAAAAAGGAAAGCTCATTGATTTATCCTCTGACAACTCTCTAAAAGCTGTTTTTGCAGATCATTCTTTAATAGACTTCTGGCTCAATGTAAAAAATGAATACCCTATCTTAGCAGAAAAAGCCATGAAAATTTTGTTACAGTTCTGCACAAAGTATCTGTGTGAGAAAGGATTTTCAACATACACTTACCTCAAAGACAAGTACAGAAATAGATTAAATGCAGAACCCGATCTAAGACTTAAGCTTTGAGACATTGAACCAAATTTTGAATTTCTTTGTTCCAAAAAACAGGCACAAATATCCCATTGAGGATTTTTGCAACTATCGAATTACTTGTATTATATGATAACGTTTCTCTAAATTTTTACGTTACAGTTATGTTTTAATTTACTTTGCTCGAACCAATTTTCGAAGCACTTATTCCACTCGTTTGCTGGCAGATGAAAAACGGCATTTTTGAATGCGCCAACTGCTTCTTCTGATGACTTGGAACCTTTGACCACGCAGTCTGTTTCTAATTTTCGGGAAATTAAAGAAATCTTTAGGACTTAGATCGGGACTATATGGAGGATGGTCCAATAATTCCACGTTTTCTTCCGTTAAATACTGCCTGGTTTTTTGGGCTGTCTGCGAGCTTGCATTGTCTTGGTGGAGGATGATTCTTCTTTCGGGGTTGATTTTTCAAAGCTCGGTGTTGACTTTTGGCAAAAAAATGGTGGTATACCAATCCGCAGTAACAGTTCTTTGATCATTAAGAGGAATTGTTGCAATACGACCCGCTTTTGACACAAATGTCGCGACCATCTTTTTCGAAACGCTTCGAGAACGGATGACTTGTTGGGTTTTCCCCACCTTGGAACACCCAAACAGCCGAATGTCGTTTATTTTCTGGTTCATAACAATAAATCCACGATTCATCACCACTAACAATGCTGTACACATTTTTTGACTTTCCGGAATTGAAACGGTCAAGCGTTTTTTGACACCAATTAACCCTGACTGCTTTCTGCTCTTCAGTCAACAGGTGGGGTATCCAACGAGAAACTAATTTTCTTACTCCTAATTGTTCATGTAAAATTGTTTGAATTGAGGTCGTTGAGATCTTCAAGGACGCCTCAATCTCGCGATATGTCACATGTATATCTTCAATGATGAGTTTGCGCACAGCATCGACGTTTTCCTGGCTGTTTTTGGTGCACCCAGCCTGGGATCGTCGCTCAGACTCACCCGTCCACGTTTGAATTCGCCGTACCAATGGGAAATTATTGACTGATGTGGCGCTTCGATGCCGAAAACAGTCAGTAACTCAGCAAGGCATTCTATTTGCGATAATTGTCTCTGAAAGTTGTAATAAATTATGGCGCGAAAATGTTCTCGGTGAGTTCCATTTTTCTAATGACTTGGTGGCACTTAAAAATTCACTGTAGCGAGAACACTGCACGTATTATTGTGAAACTTTCAATTTAAGTTTACTAAAGAGTGAGGTTAAGATCTAGTAAGACTTTTAGCAAGACTTAAAAGACATCCCTCGTAACTATTATTCACATGATTAATAAATTTTGTTAACAGCAAAGTAGTACTGTTTTATTTACTCTCACTAACGACTGGTCAGAGAATTCGCCGATATATTCCAATTTTCATAAGGGGTTCGCAGAAAGAAAAAGGTTGGCAACCGCTTATCTAAATGATGTACTCGAAATAAAATCACAAAATCATCATTACTTCTTCTTTTGCCTCATTTCATTTCCATTTTTCCTGATCCCCATGAAATGTATTCGAAGTAAAACTTTTAGCGCTGGCAGATATGACATTTTCTTTTCCATGCGTGTACTTCTACATTAAATAAGCCTGGATTGCGTGCTGTTGAAGCTGGGATAAGTTTAAAGAAGTTTAGGTTAATTTAGGCTACTTACGTGTGATCATGATTTGTTATTTTCAATTTTTCTCATTAACAAAAGGTGGAATAACTGAAATTTCTGTTGGAAAGTCGAAGTGATAGGATGGGAAAAACGATTTGTGATAATCTCCACGTAGTGTGAAGAGGTATACAAAGTATGAGAAAATGTATGCTATCTACGTGTGAGCCTAACTTCTTGTTTTCAATTTCCCATTTAAGTCTGGTGGAAATAGTTGTTTTGTGGTGTTAAAGAGTAGGTAGTAGGATAATAAAGAAGTCTTAGGCTGTAACGAAACAAATTCCCATCAGAAATTTCTAGGCTAACCTCAAATGACGCCGAAAAGTCATCACATTTTTTTGTTAGCCAAAGGTGGAAAAACAAAAAAAAATGGTTGGAAAAACATCGTAAAACGATGGAAGATCCATGTATGCTCATTTTTTCCAAATTCTGACCAATTCTGGGCTAACTTCATATGTCCTTGGTTGTTTTTTTGAACGGAAAAATGAAAACTTTTAGTGGAAAAACGAGGCAAAACGATGAAGAAACGATGTGTATTGATCGTTTTAAATAATTTGGAAAATCTGGGCCACGTGAACTTAGCCCAGAATTCTTATTTCCAATGGTTTTTAAGCTGATGGTGGAAAAACGGAAATTTTTGGTGGACAAAGGTGGTAAAACGTTGGAAAATCGTACGGCACATCATTTTCAATAGCCCAGATTTTTCTGGACTAACTTCACGGACCTCTCTTTCGTATGTTCACACTAATAAAACTTAGTCAATTAACCAGTTGTTCTGGAAAATATTCATTACGCGTAATACATTTTTTAATTATTTTAAGCAACTAAATTATTCGGTTTTAGTAAACTGTATTTTCTAGAACCAGTTTAATTGAAAGTAATGTACAATTAAGCTGATTTACTTGGAAACAGAAAACTATGTACCTGACTTATTAAACTGTTTAGTTAGCTAAGGTAATTTAGTTTATGTAAAATATGTACATAATACATACTTAAAGATTTTAATAAGAACAGTTAAGCTGTTTATCTCAATCGCGGTGTATGCGACAGACGCGATACTGGTGACGCGCTTTGAACTCCACTGTTTCTTTTGACATTTTCGTGAGGAGCTTCATATATTCGAATGTTACCGTTGTTGGTGTATTAGCTATGAAGTGAATCAATACTCGAGCACAAGGCGCTTAGCGATCCATAACCATGGTTAGAATATTTCTCGCTCCGAATGAAACACTGTGTGAGAATTATAATTTCTTTTTACGAGACTTACCTATCTCTAATATGGTAATTCCCATGCTGACCGACTATATCTTCTATGCCAGCCATACAATGATCCATCAGCTAGAATAAAAATGAATGGTATCAGCTGGATTGTAGAAAGTAAGTTCTTCAGGAACCGCATAAAATCAAGGAGACCCGATTATACATTGATCCGCGGGAATCAAAATTTGATTCTAGGTCGGAAATTTGAATAATTTCTCAGGTATACAGGTATATCTTTGTTTTCAATTGAGTTATATTATTTACTACGTAATATGACACTCATCTCCAACTAGTCGAATATCCTACCTAGTCGCAAATTTTATGCCCAGATTCAAATTATAAAATGGCGTTAAGTATGATGACTCTACACTTCCTACGCAACGCCGCCATCAGTTCATAAAAGACTAGATTGCTATAAGCACAGAGCAATGTGCGATATTGTAGATTTCTGGTCTCTTTAGGGTGGATCCATATTAACGATCATGTAAAATTATCGCACTAATTAGAGCAATCATATTTCTACCGTAAATACACTTTAAACTGATGATGACTTCTTTAAACAAATTTCTAAATACGTCAACGAATATTCAATTCGTTGGGGTAATCGGACTGCAACGGTGCTAAATCGTGCTTGGTTGTTATTACCATTATATTATTATTATATTCAAGAACGTAGAATATAGAATTCGGAATCTGTTCAAAAATGTTCATTTTCATAGCTAAAAAAGGACAATCCTATTCGGCATGATCCAATGTTGGATGAAACGATCGCCATAAAGACGAAAATGGTACGTTTTAGACGTTTCGCTAGCACGCGCTTGCTTTTGTAATATTTTCATACCTACAATACCCCGCCTAACAGAGGTCGCAAATCGTGCGAAAGGGAAATAAGGTGAAGGTTGGCTCTTAAACTGAAATATTAATGATACATTTTTGCGATATTTTCCTCAAAAACTAGAAAAACATACGGATGCGAAAGCAAGTGTGAAAGAGCGTTTCGATAGTAATCTAATCATATTAGACGAAAATACCCATGGTTTGCGAAATAATTATAATGTCTGGTTTTATTGCTGCAAGTTGTTCAAAGAGGTATTCAAAACATGGACGCATAAAATGGGTACACCAATTTTGGTGGGAAAACTTTTTATTCGACAACAAAGAATGAGAAAACGCGTTTTTTGGGATTCAATCAGAAACGAAAAAACTCTTAACATAAGATTTTTTGGTATATATGAGACCTACAAAATGAGACTACTCGTAAAAATATCCGACCAATAGCAAAAAAGTTATGGTTGAAAACCGAAGCAAACTGAAGGTTTTGGCACTTGTTGGTAATGCAACGATGGTTATTCGCTGATATTTGAAATTCTTCAAACTTGAAGTATTCGTACTTCTAAATCACCACAACAAAATTGGAGTAGATTGATTGAGTAGTTTTTTTTAATGTCTAATTGTTTATCCCAAAACACCTGTTTTCCGGCCATCACGGCTAGTTTTTGAGGAGATGTCCGCTATCCCACGAGCGCCAGCGAGTTTTCATGAATTTGAAGTCATTCCAGGAGTGCGTACGTCTCGATGGTTCACATCTCCATGATGTTATTTTAAAAAATAAAATTCCCATGTTTCTACTTTATTAAAAATATAAATGATCTTCCCTACGCTTTTTAGTTTTCTCTAGGATTTTTTAAAATCTGCTCAACTTAATGGCCCACCCTGTACTAGGTGCAGATCCTAGCAATTTTCTTGTCTGCGATGACATCGGAAGTTCACAGATCGGAAAAGAGAGACACCGGGATCAACCAGAAATAAACTTGTTCCGTAAAGACGTTCACTTTAGTCCGTCGTAAGGGGAGGATTTATTTTTTAATTATTATTTTGAGGGCAAATGTACGGGAAAATCTATTATCAGTGAAACATGCCTAATAGGTGCGTAGGACTACCCCAATTTTCTACCAATAATTTTTTTTTGAAAAGGATCAGGACCATCTGAATCGTCAAAAAATGAAGTTTGAGTGTATTTTTGTCGCAACTAGATCGACTTTCAAAAACCACAGCTTTTTGGTCCTTGTGTGGAAATTTCATCAAAATACGAGCGGCGCTTCTCAATTTATAGACAGGCCAAGGATTACCGCACAGACCAACAGACAGACACACCGACGGAAATGAGTAACATGGTTTCTGGTGATGTACAAGTCATATAACTTCTAAAAAACATAATCTCATCTTGAAAATTCTTAGCGATTGCAATACTTCCTGGCTCAGTAGCGTAGGAAGTAAAAACAGGTTTTTGTAGCTAAACCAGGTGCTTTATGAACTATTCCTTGATTTAATATAGAAACTAGCGACTCTTTCTGTAGTTTGAGAGGTGTCCAGGAATAAATTTCTTAAACTCGAATAGCTTGGCAACAGCGTAACAGCGCGGTCGGCGTAGCGCCCTTCGATAGTGGATCGATGCGGCTTATTTAGTAAAAATGGAGCGTTGGTCTGGTGCGCATGGTGCGTTCATTATTGAGGCATATTTCAAGACAATGACTTGTACACAATTGCAAGACGAAGGTTTTGTGCTCACTTTAATATTAGGCGTGTGAAAGTCGCACCAAGTACAAAAATTAGTGAAATCGTGAGCGAAGAGGTTTAGAGAAACATCGTCAGCTTTAAATGTGAATCGTCCTGGTCGTCCTGAGAATGTTAAAGCTATAAATCAAAATCCAAGTGGATCTGTTCATCACAGGTGGTGGGGTTGTGTAAATCATCTTTTCATGCAATTTTAATAAGAGATTTAAAGCTTCATCACTACAAGATCCAAATAGTGCAAAAATTAATCCCAAATGACTTTGACGTTCCTTCCCCAAAACAATAATAAACCGTTTTTTGCAAACGATCGAATTAACAGCATTCTGTTCGGTAACGTTCACCTTTAAGCCGCTGTTAATAAGCAAAATTGTTGCTATTGGTCATCAGAGAATACAAGGCAAAAACACGAAAGGCCCCTATATAGCTCAAAAGTAACTGTGTCGACTTCATTAATTATCGGTCCGTTGTTTTTTGAGAACCAGCGTGGCATAGCCCAGGCTAGTGATCGTTATTGTGTTTCGGGAGTTTTTGGTACCTCGGCTACAAGAATTTGATGGCCTTGATCAAGAAACATGGTTTCAACAAGACGGCGCTACCGCATATACAGCGAAAACGGTCATCTCTCGTTTTGGAGACCTAAACTGGCCAGCTAGAATCTCCAGATCTCACCCCATTGGACTTTTTTTGTGAATTATGTTTAGCAGTTTTTAACCACATGAAGACGGCGTTGCAGGAGTGTTTTGACCAAACTGAAAGGCACCTCGACAATATAATTTTTAAAACATCTTACCCAAATCGTATATTTTTTCCCTAATTTGAGGGATATTTTACAAAAAATGGACTGTTTACATTAGATCCATTACTACAAACACGCGTTCAGGTTAGTTAAATTTACGCCATAGGCATATACATGGACAAGATAGTAAAATCGGGTCTAAATGATGCAAACATGAATGAGGGACATTTTGTGGCAGTTGTTTTTTTCTTTCACAATGACATCGAAAAAAATGTCCCATACTGCACTGACCCTTTCGTGTATCCTCTCATTCATCGTAGGTTTCCGCTTCTCTGCCGTCTTGACATTCAATATTTTCACCAGAGGCTTGATGGTGATCCCCTGAAAGAACACCGTGAAATAGACCACTGCGATGGTTGTGGTCATGAACATAGGTTGCAGTTTGACCGTTTTTGGGTCAATGAGGAGGACAAGCGCGAAGGCCACTGCACCACGCAGTCCACCATAGGACATCACGAACTTCTCCACGGTACTGAGCTGATGCAGGCGGAAACGGTTCGCGACTGCTGTGAAGATAATTACACCTGTAAGAGAGAATATGAGAATATGGAGTCATAAAGTGTTTACATGTGTCTGAAATAAAAATTTTTGCAAACCGCAAACTGCATAAACCATAAATAATACTGCTTTCGTCTGTCCAGTCAACAGAAGGCCAACCTTAGATAGCTGCTTTGTGCTTTTTGGCAACTCATCAGCATGGTTTAGACTTTGTCTCTAGGTAGAACAATGAACGAAAGCAGGGCAAAGAATAGTCTATATCTGAGGTGTAAGGTCGTGAAGTCTATCGAAATATCACCTATCTATTGGAACTGTAAAGTATCTCAGTTCGTGTTAACAACCGAATCACCTCTGTGACCGCTTGGTGCCATCGATTTTGGCCATATAGTAGATAATAATAACAACTTATTCACAGTATTTGTACAATTTGTGAATATACAAGTAAATAAATTGAAAAAAAATCCACAAAACGATAGTGACCTTGTGCGTGGTTTCAAGTCCTTAAAAACCAAGTGTATATATTTAAAATATATTCAGAAGTAACGGAGCGTATGTGACATAAATTTTTTTAATATATATATAATATATATATATATATATATATATATACTGTTCATATAATCTCACAGTTTTGATGTTAATTTTTTCACTATGAGTAGCTGAAACTCGTTACTTCATAATTTGGTAGATTTGTTATCCAATGTTTTATTGATATTTTAAATTGGTGAGATTTATATTTAATTAGTTCTTTTGGTATAATGCTGTATATTAGTGGACCCTGGAACATGAACGGCCTTAACATGATGTGTTTTTATTAGTGTGAGTAGGCGAATTTGAGTATTTTTGTTTTTGGATTATATTGATATTCTATATTGCTTTTATTCTTATGTTGATCTATTATCCTTGTAGGTATATAGAAAAAGTTTATGTATACTAAGAATGTTTGTTTCCGAAAATATCAATTCACTAGAATATAATAATGGTTCATGATAAATATTTTATAAAATTAGTTGTGTGTAATTATAAATATACTAAGTGACATCCGAACACCCAGTTTAAATGGTTTTATTTTAATAAAAGTTGGTGAATGTATTTATCTTACTGTAAATAACAAGTGAAAAAATTTTCAGCCTTATCAGTTGGACATTCCGGTTTTTATACTGCTTTTTTTAATTCACTAACGCTCTAAAAATGAATATTTCAGCCGCAGTAAAGAATCAACGTTGGCGGATTTTGGTTCTTGACATCCTTTACGATCGGTTACGATGCCTAGCGTACGGAGACCTGTACGATTTCGTCAACTTAGTGAGTTTGATAGAGGTCGTATAGTGGGACTTCGGGAAGCTGGACTTTCTTTTCGGACCATTGCAGTTAGACTGCAAAGAAGTGTAGACACTGTGGCTAGCTGTTGTCAGGCATGGCTTCGAGAAGGCCGTACGCAAAGAGCAAGGGGCACTGGACGCCGCCGTAGAACAACAGACCGTGAAGATCGTCGCCTAAGATTATTGGCCTTAAGGGACCGTTTCTCCACTACCAGGTCCATTGCAAATGAATGGTTTGCAGAACACGGAAGATCTATTGGCATGCGAAGTGTTTACCGACGAATGAGAAGTTTTGGCTTGTATTCATACCGGCCACACTGAGTACTCCCTTTAACTCGAGAACACCGACGTAATCGCCTTGAGTGGTGCAGACAACGGTAACTCTGGGATCAGGAATGGAACAGTATTGTCTTTAGTGACGAGTCTCGATTTTGTTTGGGAATGCAAGATGGTCGTGCCAGGGTTAGAAGGCGACGTGGTGAAAGGAGGAATCCACAGTTTTTTGTTGAAAGACATGTTCATCACACTGTTGGAGTTATGGTTTTGGGTGCTATAGCTTATGGTTCCAGGTCACCTTTAATCTTCATCAGAGATAACATGAACGCGCAGCGTTATATCCACGAAGTTCTAGAACCCCATCTTTTACCCTATCTTGACACCCTGGCAGATCCAACTTTCCAAAAAGATAATGCCCGACCACATGCTGCAAGAGTCACAATAGACTTCTTTCAACATAATGATGTCACATTGTTACCATGGCCACCAAGATCTCCCGACTTATCCCCAATTGAGCACGTGTGGGATATGATGGGTAGGAGATTGCTCAATTTGCAACGTCCTCCTCAGACTCTAGAAGCACTTCGAGAGGAGTTGGTGGTTGCCTGGAATGAGATACCACAGGAGGACATTGACCACCTGATCAGAAGCATGCCTAGGCGCGTTGGAGAATGCGTAGCACATCAGGGTGCATCCACACATTATTAAAGGTCAAAGGGCTTTAAAGCAGTGCAATCATTTTGAAATTTTTATCATTTACTTATTATACTTCATTAAGTACTTATACAAAATTTTATTAAAATAAAACCATTTAAACTGGGTGTTCGGATTTATATGTCACTTAGTATATATGTTGAACCCCAATTATAGTCTATTCGCCATTGAAAAACAGATAATACCGATTCCGTTCATTCGACCGATAGAGAACCAACAGTATGCAGATGTTTGATGCTTTTGGCAATCACCAGCATGGTCTAGGCTTGGTCACTATGTAATGTCGAGGCGATAGTGTTATCATCTACTATATCGCCAGAATCGATAACATCAATCAATCACAGTGGTGACTGGGCTATGGGCACGAACTGCGATTACTTTACGGTTCCAATAAGTATCTGCTGCACATCCTCGCAGTGGTCGATTCTGGTAATAAATGACACTTTGTGATGTCATATTTCGACAGACTGCATACGTGTATCCGGAAGATTTCTGATGTATACAAACCCTCCAACAAGACAATACTAATGGAAAGAGAGCAATAGCATTTTGATATAGGCACGCACAAAAGAGTAAAGTATACATTCTAACTGAGTGTCTCCGAGGTACCTGGCGACTAACTCAACCTCTAAGTAAGGACTCTGAGAAGTGAAAGTACAACGAACTTTAAATGGTACAATTATTATCAAAAGTACAAACGCTTCCAAAGAGCAGCATAGAGCATAGCAACAAGCATCATGAGATGAGCTCACATAACTACACTCATCAGAGAGAATAAACGGAAACAGTATAGTAAACAAAAGGGCTGAAACTACTAAATACTAAGACTCAGTAAAGGAAGAAATTATAAAACAAGTCGCCCATTTTACTCTCGATACATGGCCACAATATAAAACTTAAAATACGGACAAATATAAATGTATGCACTCAATGAAGTTAGAAGTGTTACACCTAGAATAAATAATTTCTTCAACTTGTGTTTTTGCAACATAGCAACACGTATGCTGTGGCGACAACGTCAACGTTTTGTCTTTGTTTTCTTTACCTTTGTTAAAATCTTGTCGCTTAGTTTTTGTGAAGAAAGCAGGTCCTGAGAGCTGACTGGTACAGATATTTTAGTTATTGTTCTTTCATTTACTAGAGTTAAGCATAAAGAAATGCCTCGAATTAGAAGACGTCCAAATTATCATCATATTAGCGGCTTTGACAGGGGTAGAATTATTTCCCGAGATATTGGGTTGTCCAATCGCGAAATTGGCCGCCGTATTAATTGATCTGCAATGACGGTAATGCATGTGTGCCATGTGTGGATAGAAGAAGATAGAGGAACACGAAGAAAGCCAACTGGTCCACCGAGGCGTCCCACAGAGCGTCAGGATAGGCGCTTCAGACAACTAGCCCTACGAGACCGTTTTGCTACTATGCGACAGATCGCTGACCAATGGTTCTGTTACTATGCGTACACTCTATCGCCGCATTCAACCCTTTGGACTTTTTTCATACCGTTCACGATTAATGCTTCCTCTGACTGCTGACCACTGTCGTCAACGTTTTAACTGGAGCAGAGGACGGCAACATTGGGAGGCAGAATGCCACAAGGTCATCTTAATATAATTATCTTCGACATACCTCAGAGATGTGATATGACCAGTCCAAGAATTCATCTAAATGAACACCAAGAAATTTTGTATTGCATACCGATTGAAACTCTGACTAGACGAAGCTGAATGTTGCCGGCTTTTCAACTTTATTTTGTCTTGTTCTGAACATTAATACATTTAGTCTAATCATATTAGCAAATTTCCCCGAAATAATTGTGAAGTCCGGTTTTATTGATGCAAGCTGTTCAAGGGAGTATTCAAAACATGGACGCGTAAAATGGGTACACCGATTTTTGTGGAAAAACTTTTTATTCGACAACAAAGAATGAGAAAACGTGTTTTTTGGGAATAAATCAAAAGTGTTGGCAGGAACCAAAAAACTCTTCAAATAATATTCTCAAGTACTTGAGACCTACAGAATGAGAACACACGTAAAAAAATCCGACTAACAGTAAAAAAGTTATGGCCGAAGACCGAGACAAAATGCAGGTTTTAACACTTGCTGCTAATGCGACGATAATATCACACAGCTACTTTAAATTCTACTAATCCGTAGGCTTCATACTTCTAAGTAACCACAACAAAATTGGTGTCGATTGGTAATTTTTGAGAATCTCTAATTGTTTATCCCAAAACACTGTCTTCTGGCCATCACTACTAGTTTACTGAGCAATATACAGGGTTCGTTTAAAGGGCATTTTATAGCAAAATGCAAGCGTTTACCTTGCCGATATAAATCACAAACCATTTCGAAAGATAATTGTCGTTTTTATGCGAAAAATGAAGGGCTACGTTTTTTTCTTCTAAACAAATTCAAACATTTCGTATTTGCTTGTAATTGAACAGATTCGCTACGATATTCGAAAAAGATACGTTATTAAACACATCCTAAAACAAAGCGGATGTGTCCATCACCTTTTGTTGCGAATACTTTTTCATACTCTTGTGTATACATATTTAGAGCTGACAATTGGATTTCAAACTGTCTTAGACTAGTTAGTATGTGCTGAATGGCTGCATTATTGATGACTGCATGACTTTGTCAAATAAGTAGGTCACGTAATCCAGTTTCTCTGCGAAGAAATATATTTCCCTGGACATTTTTTCTGAAAGTTTTAGTATAGCATACGTCTGTTTTCGAAGTCTCGTACGATTAAAATGACTGCGGGTTCAAAATATTGGAAAATAAACTCGAGAAAATGAAAAAACAGTAGACAAATATCAACCAATTGTAGCGAGTTGACCGTCTTCAAAATTAGGCAAAATGCTCGGGATTAGTCCCTAACACATTATTTAAAGTTTCAGCATCTTATCTTGTATAGTGTTCAAGAATATTCTAATTGTTTATATTTGATATGTCTTCAACGTTCGCTTGACATTTTTTAGTGAAAAGTGTAGTGGTATAAAGATCCAGTAAACAAAGAGGCGTCGTAGCGTAATGGGAGAGCAGGGCGATTTCTGAACCGCAGGCCGCAGATTCAAATCCACAAAGCTCTTATTTTGCTATTATTTTTTTTTATATTTGGAGAAATAAATGTCATTTCACATTATGTGTACTTTTAAAGCGATCAAATAGTTTTTCGCACGCCATAGACAATGTAAGTTTGTAGACAGTAAACCAGCGGTATACGTATGATAGTTTATAACTTTTATTACTTTTATGCAATTTCAGAAGCACTATGTCGGATCATAGCTGATAATTTTTGAAAACATATATCTTAGATATGTAAATTATTAACCAACAATAATGAAAGACATCCGAAACTAATAAATGCAAACTATGCAAAAAATGCCTACGCTGTTGATGAAATGAGCATCTACGCTTAACAGTTACTTGATAAATACAAAGACTGTGAGTTAGCTCACTTAATTTTATAAGCATCCTCTGTGGCTCCAAGAGGTACCTAATTTGACGGCGTATCGAAAACTTGGGCGTATTATCACAAACAAAATTTCGGATGTATTTCATTATTGTTGGTTAATAATTTACACATCCAAGATATATGTTTTCCAAAATTATCTGCTATGATCCGACATAGTGTTCCTGAAATTTCATCAAAGTAATATAAAAAAAAAATATAAACAATCATACGTATACCGCTGGTTTCCTTGTTACAAGCTTACATTCTCTATTGCGTGCGAAAAACTGTTTGATCGCACTAAAAGTACACATAATTTGAAAAAACATTTATTTCTCCAAGTTTGAAAAAAAATGATAGCAAAAAAAGGAGCTATGTGGATTTGAACCTCCATCCTGCGTTTCAGAAGTCACGACTGTCTCGCACTACGCTACGACGCTTCTTGGTTTACTGGATCTTTATAAAACTACACTTGACACTGATAAATGTCAAGCGAACGTTCAAGACATATCACATCTGTTATAAACAATTAGAATACTTTTGAAAACTATACAAGATACAAAGCTGAAACTTTAAATAATGTATTAGAGGCTAATACCGAGCATTTTTCCTAATTTTGAAGACGATTCGCTACAATTGGTAATATTTGTCTACTGTTTCTTCGTTTTCTCGAGCTTATTTTCAAATATTTTGAACTCGCAGTTGTCTTAATTGTACGAAATTTCGAAAACAGACGTATACTATACTAAAGCTTTTAGAAAAAAGGTCCAGGGAATTATATTTCTCCGTAAAGAAACTGGACTACGTGACCTACTTATTTGTCGAAGTCATGTAGTGATTAATAATGCAGCCATTTAGCACATGCTACATACTAACTACGCTAAGACAGTTTGAAACATAATTGTGTCTTCACTTTATTAACAGTTCAGTGCATTTAGGTATCAAATATTTATTTTTATAAACTTTAGGACTCGTCTGTGACCGTGTAAGAAATTCAGCTCGAAATATGTGTACACAAGAGTATCAAAAGAGAAAAAAATTATTTTCTTCGCAAAAAAAGGTGATGGACACATCCGCTTTATTTTAAAACGTGTACAAAAACCTATGTTTTTCAAATATCGTAGCGAATCGGTTCAATTGCTCTCAAATACGAAATGTTTGAATTTGCTTAGAAAGAAAAAAGGTAACCCTTCGTTTTTCGCATAAAAACAACAATTGTCTTTCGGAATGGTTTGTGATTTATATCGGCAAGGTAAACTCACCCAATCGAATCGAATTCTATTGTGGTTACTTAGAAGTATGAACCCCACGGATATGAGCAATTTTAAGTAGCTGCGTGAAATTATCGTCGCATTAGCAGCAAGTGCCAAAACCTGCATTTTGCCTGGTTTTCGGCCATAACTTCTTTACTATTAGACGGACCTTTTTACGTGTGGTCTCATTTTGTAGGTCTCATTAATACCTAAAAATCTTATTTGAATAGTTTTTTCGTTCCTGCCAACACTTTCGATTGAATCCCTAAAAACACGTTTTCTCATTCTTTGTTGTCGAGTAAAAAGTTTTTCCACAAAAATTGGTGTACCCATATTATGCGTCCATGTTTAAAATACGCCCTTGAACAACTCGCATCAATAAAACCAGACTTTACAATTATTTTGCAAACCATGGGTATTTTCGTCTAATATGGTTAGACTAATTAGCTTTAGTTTCATTAAGTAGTATCCTGTTAACTGAAAACCACGTTTTTGCTGCCAAAAAGGGTTTGCTCCCGATACTGCAAGATCCTCAAAGGTTCTTTCCCTTGTCAGAAAATTAGTGTTGTCAACATAACAAGTCACACATTCACTCTCTGAGCTTGTAATGTATTCCAGGTTATTTAGAAATATGATGGATAATAAATAGCCAAAAATACTACAGTGAGCAATTCCAGTTCTGTTTTCCTGACGACTTGAAAAATGCTCTCTACCAGTTTTGGTTATTTTGACTTCCTGTTGCTTATTTGCTAAGTATGATGTGAACAACTACAATGCATGACCAATTGTTCCACTTTGCCTCAAATGTCTTCAATAAAATGTGAGGGTTAACACTCTCATACTGCTTTTGACAGACCCAAAGAAATGCCTATTGCTAAGTTGCACTCTTCCAAATACTCTACTAACTTTTTTGTGAAGTTGAATATTGCGGTTTGTGTGGATTTGCCACGAACGTAATCGTGCTGTATTACATTTAGCAGATTACATTCCTTGCAAATATGTATCAATTGGCTACAACCGTGCTCGAATAGTTTGGAAAAACCTGGCAACATACTAATGAATCTATGATTCTCCATTAGCTCTGCATTTCATTTTTTAAATAAGGGCTTGATTAGTGTAACTTTTAGTTGGTGGGGGAAAATGCCATGCCTAAATGAATTATTGATTGAATAGCAGAGAACATTACCAATGCGGGTATTGAAAATTTAACAATAAACGATGGTGTTTCATCGATGCCACAGCTCCGCTTGTTTTTATTTATTTTTTTTATTCATCTGTTGAGGTGTCACTTCTTTATTTGATACCGTGCATATTATGATTACATGTGTGTGTTTTGGTTAAGCCTTGAATATTGCAAGCAATAAGCTGGGTTGTGGGCTTATGATTTGAGTAAGTTTATTATATTTTATGGATTTATTGTTGGAGATTTATGAGTCTTCAGTTGGCGGGTCTTATTTCATGAAAATACTTCAACTCGTTATTGAAATTTTGGTATCATATAGTCCAAGCTACAACTTTGATGCACCCGTAATAATAACGTGTAGGTGTAGGGTATCAAATATACGAAGGTTGTCTCAAAAATGAGGTTCCCAAATCTGTATCTTTGCCGCGCGTGAGGCTAGGCGAAATCTGGCAACATCGTCGTCTTTGTCGGCTCCCCTACTACCGATCCTAACAAGAAGCACCTATTGGCGATGCTCAGTACCGGCCGACAGTCATGCACAATCGCCGTCACCGCCAGCGAATTTTTGCAAGCAAAAACGTTACCACTCAGAAATTCTTCAGCAGTTGAAATTAAAGTATATGGGAAACGTGTATAAGCATTCCACATGCCCTCAAATGGCGAAGAGAGTGCTTTGACGGCCACATGGACATCCACGATGAATAACGTGGAATAAAGTGCAAGGCCGTCGATCTCCGAGGAAGTTATGGCAAAGATTGAACAAATCCTGGACGCAGATCGGCGAATCGCGATCCGGAAACAGGTGGCTGAAATTCCTGAGGCTTCCGAAAAAGCTGAGACGTTAAATCCAAAATCGTCATAGGGCAAAGCTCTGCATAGCGTAAGACTTCCCACGACAATGCACATCATCATGTCTCAGAACAAACGAAGAACAGAATCGAGCGATTTGGCTGGAAAGTCATTGCTTATCCCCCTTACAGCCCTGACAGTGTTTCCGAAATTGACGGAGTACGTGAACGCTCAACGATTCTAGACGCACGAGGAGTTGCAAGGAGCAGCAATCAAGTTTCCAAGTGGGCTTACGGGGAACTTCCCGGGAGCGAAAAAGTGAATTCCACCTCTAAACAGATGCGTAGAAAAAATGGCGACTACGTAAAAAAATAGCTTAAACATCAACGTTTCCAATGGTAAAGTCGTTTTTCCAAATAAGAAATTCCTTGTACCCGAAAAAATGTGGACACTTTATTTTTGAGACAATCCTCGTAATTAAATTCAGAAGAATTTAAATTTCAAAGTGCGGTATCTGATTGAAAATCAGAGATATTTAAGAAAACTCAACGGTATTTGAAAGGCATACTTTGAAATGATGTTGATTTTTTGAAAAGAATAATAATTTGCCATACTATAATACTGAACCTCAAATACAAGCAAAAATTGGTATTTTTGCACCTTTAAGTTAGGATATCTCGGAAACTAGGAGCATAAACTCAAACTCAGCGCATCAAAAACTTTCTGGAACGTATACTCTGGTTTCTGGGTAAGAATCTTGCCGGCCTGTGTTATTAGGGAACTAGCTGTTCTACTACTATATTGAGAGTTCAATTTTTGATCACTCGCTGGAGCACTTGCCACAGAAATGGATCCAGCCTCTAAAGAATGTCAATAATTATAGTTTCTAGGGAAAATCTACTCACCTATAACTCTATACACTGAGCAAAACAAAATGGTAAGTACGACGAACCACGTATTCCAATCGTGGTTCTTGTTAACAGTGGCAACGCCGAGGAACATAAAGATGATGGTTTCGGAAGAGCTGCTCAACATTTTCATAGCGTACTTGATGGTAGTATGGGATTTGTTAGAAATGTTGGCTTCTACGTAGTTCTTCATTGTTATACCGCAAAAGGTTATTCTGGAAATGAATATAAAATAAGCAGTAATTTCCGTAAAAAATACAGGATGTTAAAAATACAGAGAATTCTTAAAGTTAATAGTGTATAGTTGTTGTAAAATTAAGCTATCTCTCCCATAAACAAAGACTTACGTCTACGAAAGTATTAAGGTAACCCAGTTATTAAGTTCTGAAAATATATTCAGTGACATTAGAGGTGTTACACTAAGGGGAGTCAACTCATATGGGAGAATAAGAAACAGTACGGTGTTGCCGGACACAACCTGACAGCACTGTTGACATCCAGAAAAAATGGCGGCTTTGATAAGTGTGACGGTTTATAAGCATCCCACAAACCGGCGCGAAATAATCGCGGCGAAGTATTCGCAACGAAATTCAGAGCGAAATTCGCAATCTGTTTCGCCTGTTTATTCATACCAAAGCGTCTTATTCGCTCCGCGAACGTGAAGGTTTCGACAGGTTGCGTACATTTTATTTTTGCCTTTTGCAATGAGCTCGTCTTCAGAAGAAGAGGAGGCACTTCTATTTCTTGCTTTAGAAGAGGAACAAAATGCACGGTAAGTTATGTTTATTTAACGCCATTTCTTCAATATGTTCAAATTCTTCGTGCGCTATTAATTCGGCTATTTTTAGTTTTATTCGGGCTTGACGCTTTAAGGGAAGTGTTTTCACAGTCTGTGCATGTGCCAAGAAAAGTGAATCAATGGCCTCGTTCTCTTTTTTAGGTTTTTTACCTTCAAAATAATTAATGAGCTGTTGTACAGACGAAGATGGTGGTTCATAGCGTTTTCTGCTCGTTTTATATTTTGGTGTAGTTGCAGTCTGCGGAAAGGTGTGCCCTGGAGTAGTCACTGCTGTAGTGTTCAATGAAGAAGGTGGTGCTGTCTGTGTTGCCGAGGCGTTCTGTGCATCTTCTGCATCTACATCAGCATTTTCATCTTCTCCATGGCCGCGGTCTTCCAAATTTTCGGTTTCTACATTTCCAGCCCTTTCCTGATATATATTTGAGTTAAATTCGGCAGTCTCATAATGTATGACGTCAATATCTTTCACATTAGTCGACGTTTTGGCAAATGCCAAAAAAGGACGGAAAAATTCCATGTAGTCAGCCCACTGCCATTTTTTTATGTTGCCCACTGCTTGGCCGGTCTTTGGTTTGGTAGGTTTTATATATTTTGCAAATGTGTCTCTGATATTCTTCCACCTTTTTTTTACTTCATCACCTAAAAACGATTTTTTTATAGATTCCTTGCCACTGATGACACCTACCATTGGGCATAGCCTTCGAGTTGGCTTTACAACAGTGAGTGCAATCGTAACCGAAGTCTGTGAAGCGATATGCAGACATATGGAGTATATATATTTACCAGAACCAACAGAGAATATATGGAAAAAATGTGCTGAAGAATTTGAAAATAGATGGGGATTTCCCAATTGCATTGGCAGCGTGGACGGTAAACATAACATAACAATCAAGAGACCTAACAACAGTGGCTCCAATTGCTGGTGCTATTTACATAAATATTCAATAGTACTTATGGCCATTGTTGGCCCGGACTATAAATTTATATGTGTTGATATTGGTGGTTTCGGAAAAAATAGTGATGGGGGTATTTTCGAAACCTCAAACATGGGAAAACGATTTGAACAAAATTTAAAGAGTGTCCCTGCACCTAGATTTCTCCCTGGGCAAAATGAAATCTACTCGTACGTCTTAATTGGTGATGAAGCATTTGCTTTAAAACCATACCTTATGAGACCATTTCCTTATAAGCAGACTTTAACAGACGTCAGAAAAGAGAAATACAATGTAAGACTTTGTCGAGCTAGAAGGGTCGTGGAAAATGCGTATGGTATTTTGTCTCAAAAATGGCGAATATTTTACAGGCCATTAGAAACTAAAGTAGATACTACTATTCTAATTGTACGTACGGCATGTGTTTTACACAATTTTTTACGAAGTAAAAGTGGCGATGACATATATTTTCAATTCTTAGATCCCCCAGAACCCGTGCTTGGAGCTTTTACCGATATAGCAAATGATCCTCGGCGGGCAGCAAGGCTAGCATTTTCTACTCGTGACAAATTCGTAAATTATTTTAATTCTGATATGCCTATGCCCAATATATAGAATGTTCGTTTTCACATTTGTGTAGACTGTAAATTATTTAACAAGTTAATAAAAAATATTAGATACATACCATTTGTATTTAATTCTTTTCCTATTTCCATCCAAATCTTGTCTTTCTTTCTCACATTCCTGTATTCATCGTTCGACAAATCATACAAACAAGGATACTTTTTCACTATTTCTATCAATAATTCCGTTTTTGCCATTGCGAATTTTTGAAGAACGGCGTCAAAAACGCGGTCAAAGGCGAACTGAAATACGCCGCGATAAAAACGCTGGAACAATCGCATTCGCTTCGCACAAGTCTGAGCCTGTCCGTAAACCGCTGCGTTTTAATCTGATGCTTAAAGCATCCCACAAACCGGCGCGAAATAATCGCGGCGAAGTATTCGCAACGCAATTCAGAGCGAAATTCGCAATCTGTTTCGCCTGTTTATTCATACCAAAGCGTCTTATTCGCTCCGCGAACGTGAAGGTTTCGACAGGTTGCGTACATTTTATTTTTGCCTTTTGCAATGAGCTCGTCTTCAAAAGAAGAGGAGGCACTTCTATTTCTTGCTTTAGAAGAGGAACAAAATGCACGGTAAGTTATGTTTATTTAACGCCATTTGATAGTTGGGTATGTATTAAGTTTAACGAAGTACATAAAACAAATATTTTCAATTTTGTTTAGGAAACGAAGGAAGTGGGTACATGATATTAACTTGGAACGAAATAAATGTGGGGAATACCATACCTCGATGCCACAACTTCGGCTGGATGAACAGCGCTTTTACGTATATTTTAGAATTACTCCAGAGTGTTTCGATGAAATATTGAACTTGGTGAAAGATGAAATACGAAAATCTGACACAAATTATCGTGAAGCTATTTCGCCAGAAGAACGACTTGCTATTACACTCAGCTAAAAAAATTATATGTATTAAAATTAGTAGGTTTATCGAATACGAAAACTTCAGGGTTCGTGAGATAAATATTTTATTGTAATAATTGGACTACATGTTGATATGGAAAAAATGTGCTGAAGAATTTGAAAATAGATGGGGATTTCCCAATTGCATTGGCAGCGTGGACGGTAAACATGTAACAATCAAGAGACCTAACAACAGTGGCTCCAATTACTGGTGCTATTTACATAAATATTCAATAGTACTTATGGCCATTGTTGGCCCGGACTATAAATTTATATGTGTTGATATTGGTGGTTTCGGAAAAAATAGTGATGGGGGTATTTTCGAAACCTCAAACATGGGAAAACGATTTGAACAAAATTTAATGAGTGTCCCTGCACCTAGATTTCTCCCTGGGCAAAATGAAATCTGATCGTACGTCTTAATTGGTTATGAAGCATTTGCTTTAAAACCAAACCTTATGAGACCATTTCCTTAGAAGCAGACTTTAACAGACGTCAGAAAAGAGAAATACAATGTAAGACTTGGTCGAGCTAGAAGGGTCGTGGAAAATGCGTTTGGTATTTTGTCTCAAAAATGGCGAATATTTTACAGGCCATTAGAAACTAAAGTAGATACTACTATTCTAATTGTACGTACGGCATGTGTTTTACACAATTTTTTACGAAGTAAAAGTGGCGATGACAAATATTTTCAATTCTTAGATCCCCCAGAACCCGTGCTTGGAGCTTTTACTGATATAGCAAATGATCCTCGGCGGGCAGCAAGGCTAGCATTCTACTCGTGACAAATTCGTAAATTATTTTAATTCTGATATGCCTATGCCCAATATATAGAATGTTCGTTTTCACATTTGTGTAGACTGTAAATTATTTAACAAGTTAATAAAAAATATTAGGTACATACCATTTGTATTTAATTCTTTTCCTATTTTCATCCAAATCTTGTCTTTCTTTCTCACATTCCTGTATTCATCGTTCGACAAATCATACAAACAAGGATACTTTTTCACTATTTTTATCAATAATTCCGTTTTTGCCATTGCGAATTTTTGAAGAACGGCGTCAAAAACGCGGTCAAAGGCGAACTGAAATACGCCGCGATAAAAACGCTGGAACAATCGCATTCGCTTCGCACAAGTCTGAGCCTGTCCGTAAACCGCTGCGTTTTAATCTGATGCTTAAAGCATCCCACAAACCGGCGCGAAATAATCGCGGCGAAGTATTCGCAACGCAATTCAGAGCGAAATTCGCAATCTGTTTCGCCTGTTTATTCATACCAAAGCGTCTTATTCGCTCCGCGAACGTGAAGGTTTCGACAGGTTGCGTACATTTTATTTTTGCCTTTTGCAATGAGCTCGTCTTCAAAAGAAGAGGAGGCACTTCTATTTCTTGCTTTAGAAGAGGAACAAAATGCACGGTAAGTTATGTTTATTTAACGCCATTTGATAGTTGGGTATGTATTAAGTTTAACGAAGTACATAAAACAAATATTTTCAATTTTGTTTAGGAAACGAAGGAAGTGGGTACATGATATTAACTTGGAACGAAATAAATGTGGGGAATACCATACCTCGATGCCACAACTTCGGCTGGATGAACAGCGCTTTTACGTATATTTTAGAATTACTCCAGAGTGTTTCGATGAAATATTGAACTTGGTGAAAGATGAAATACGAAAATCTGACACAAATTATCGTGAAGCTATTTCGCCAGAAGAACGACTTGCTATTACACTCAGCTAAAAAAATTATATGTATTAAAATTAGTAGGTTTATCGAATACGAAAACTTCAGGGTTCGTGAGATAAATATTTTATTGTAATAATTGGACTACATGTTGATATGGAAAAAATGTGCTGAAGAATTTGAAAATAGATGGGGATTTCCCAATTGCATTGGCAGCGTGGACGGTAAACATGTAACAATCAAGAGACCTAACAACAGTGGCTCCAATTAC